CTTGTTTGCATGAGAAGCAGATGTTTACACGGTGCCGACAAACGCACTTACGTAAACGCCATCGAACGCTGCACCGACAGTGATTGCGATTCCGAGGGACGAGCACGCGATGCAACGCGCTGAGTTTTTTCTATTTTGGCGCCAACAATCGATTTTTTCTTTCTTTTGTTTTAATTTCGCGTGTCCCCGTCGACTTTTGCAACAGCCTATCATCGATTTACCTATCGACCATATTCAACGATCGCGATTGCACCTCGTATTGAGATATCTTGCAAATCCTAAAAATTGTGAAAGTTAAGATCTTGACCATGCTTTACGCGCACGTAAAAAGTCTCTCGGAGCAGCGAGGAGAACAAGACGCGAACGGTATCTCGCAAAATTCGTGGCTGCGTGGAAATGCAACGGAATAAAAGAGAGGCTGATAACCTCAGAGATTTCAATTCGTGCGAGTAAACTGTTCTTCTCTCCGATTATTCCTCTTATCGTCTCTTTTCTCTCTTTCGACGCTCATCCTCCAAGCGAAAGGAGGTAGAACTTTAGATAAACAATATCACAATAATATTGAATTGGAAGCTCGTTTCGTGGGGAATTTTTATATCGTTTGTGAACGAGGACAAGGGTTAATATGTACCTGCCACAACCAGCGCGTTCTCTTTTACGAGGAGGCCAAAAATAAATTATTGTTCCGGCTTGTTTCTGCTCCGGGGTGCCGTCGGGTCCGACGGATCCCCATCGTCTCCCTTTGTTCACCGTGCAGCCCTCATCGAGGCCGACCGTCCGCGACGGTGCGACCACCTCCGTCGTCATCCGCAACGGCGTACCTAATATAATATTCCAGGCAATTACAATGTTTGCGGATCAAACAGAGGGACTCGTTCATCCCCGTCCGTAACGCGACGGGCTCCCTTCGGTAGCTGGTAACCCCATTCCCCCTCACCGTCGCGAGTCGGCGCGGGTGGCAACGCAATGAGGGGCCGGCCAGATATACGAGAACGATTTCTCGTCTGCTTTTTTAACGAGCTCTAAAACATTGACTGGTTTTTTCGAGGTGCGAGAAATGTGTCACAAGCGCACACTATAGTTTTTGAGTCGTATTTTGGAAGAAACGCAACAAAAAAATAGGCAACGAACAAACAATGCGCGATTTATATTCTCTTCTGTTGCGCCCATCTGACTCGTTCATCTTGCGCGAATCTTGCCTCACCTGGTTCCCATAAGCGTTCGCGCACGGTACGCGTCGCCTTTTGCACGTAACGCGTAACTGCGCCCTACCTCGATCATTGTCGTTGCATCCTCACGGAACGCAGCCAGGAATCACACCGATTGCGACGAAAGAAACTCTCTCTTTCTCTCTCCCTCTTTGAAATAACTTGCCTAAATATTGGCGTAACCGTTAGAAAATTTATTCGAACGAAGCGACCGAAAAATTACGTTTCCATTCGAATGTGCTAACACGCGCGACGTGTGCCTCGCGTACAATGGCAAGAGCGCAAGACTGTTATAAACAGAACACTTAGAGAGACGTCGCTTGCACAATACGCGCGCTATGCGCGAGATTGCTGAAATCCGGTAAGATTTTATTTCCCGCGACTCTTTTGTCTCTAACGAGATTTCGCGAGAGATTTAGCGCTCGGCCGCCCTACCTGACGCGTCGGTAGTCTGTGAACTCGATCGTACGGAACCGAATTACACGGACCGTTCGCTTGATATTCCAGTCGACTCTTCCTCATCGAATACTTTCTTCCGTCCCGCGCTCTTCTCTTTTCCTTCCACCGCCGTTCAGTCAAGCTCTGCGACCTGGAACGTGCTGTGGTTCGTACGCACGTTCGTACATATACAGACGCATTTTCGTAATAGCGGACGAACCGCCGTCGGGGAAACGGATAAGTCTTTGCTCGATAAACATCTTCTTTCCATTTTCTTTCTCTCTCTCCCCCCCCCCCCCCCC